AGGCCTTTTTTCCAGGGCTCCTCTGAGTAGACTCAAACCTCCAGCCTTTCAGTTAGCAGCCAAGCATGTTAACCATTTGGGCCATCCAGGGATTCCTTAAGGAGGATTTCTCAGGTTAAAAAGGAGGAACTAGCCTGAAGGCAGGTAGCAGGAATGCAGGAAAAGTAAGTAAGCAGTAGTTGAAGTGATCAGGGAGAGGATGGCAGTGATCTGCTATAAGGCAGCCAGTGTAGGTATGAAGCTAAGTAGAATAATATGACAGATATTGAGGACATAGAATGGATGAGACTCCAAGATGAAGGGAAAGGACTAATGGAGAGAGGGGTGAAGGATGGTGTGTGGGTTCCTGGCATGAGTACATGGGTGAGTGATGCGCTCTTGCCCTGAAATGAGGAAAAACTGAAGAGGGAGAGGTTTCAGGCAGGTGATCAATTCTGCTATGGATGCAATGAATTTTAATCATCTGCAGCCCAACAAAATATTTTTTTCAGTCACCATCAAGTTGTCTCTGACTCATGGGAACCATGTGTGTCAGAGAAGAACTGCGCTCCATAGGGTTTTCAGTGACTGCTTTTTCGGAAGTAGATTGCCACGCCATTCTTCTGAGGTGTCCCTGGGTGGACTCGAACCCTCAACCTTTCAGTTAGCAGTTGCATATGTGGATCAGGAAATAAAGTGAGTCTGCAATGGAGATGTGAGAGGTGTCAGGAGAGACAGCTAATGATGGCTCTGGAATGAATGGATTCCTACAGAAAGTGAGTAAAGTGAGAGGCCAAGGACAAAACCCTGAGGATTGCCAGCACATAAGGAAGAAGCTGCAGAAGAGCCTGCAGAGGAGGCTGAAAAGGAGCAGCCAGAGAGATTGGGGGAAAATAAGAGAGACAGGTGACATGGAAAACATTCCCCCAGGGACCAGCAATGTCTCATGCACAATAGGTGCTGCTGGTGGGGGGAAGGCCGTATGTCACGGACAGCCAGGCTTGTGCAAGAACCACCAGGGCACTACATTTCTTCTCCCCTTCCAAACTCAGGCCTTGCCCCAAGGTGGAGATTTTTCTGTGCAAGGGAACAAAGCAGCATGCAGGCTTCCATACAGGACTTGCACGCAGCAATGCTGCACTTCCCAAAATGAGCCATACAGAGACTCCCTAGAAAAATACTTGGCCCCAGTAGTAAGAGCTCATAGGTGGTCCTCACTGAAGCATGGAACCTTTTCCTGCACCCCACCCTCAAGGTGCAGCTTCTGTCAACATAGATCATGCCTCCTCCACCTCAGGGAGCAGCATGCCCAGGGGTGCACCAGGCCCTCGGGAAAGTTAGCATAGGTTCAACTACCTTGGATGTAGGTTGGCTCTTTGAGCTATCTCATTGATGAGGGGAGTCAGAAAGTTTTCCCTGGCAGAGTCCAGGTCAGCAGAACGTGGGGTGGGACTTGGGAAAGAGGAAACAATGGAGAGAATGGGGATTAAGGGGACTTGGGCTGAGGAGGTATGAAGATACAGGATGGGCAAGAAAGGACACGGCAAAACCGGTGGGCTCACCTTCTTCCTCTCCTCTTTATTAGCCTCCTCTTTCCCTTCTCATCTCTCCAAGCTCTTTACACTTTTCCTTTCCTTTGTTCTCCCTCAGGGCTGGGCTTCTTCTCCTCAAGAGTTTGCCTTGACAACCAAGGATCAGGAACACATGTGGGTGGAGTGGCCTGGAGTGGTGACAACTTGCAGAGTGAAGGGAAAATAGGCTCATGAAGACAGGAAAGCCCTCAGACCACACCTCTGCAGCGGGAAAGCCCTTTTTAGCTCTGTGCTGGGTGGCAGAGGAGACTGGAGCAGCTCCTGGCTTCCCTCACCGTTCCTGCCAGCCCTGGTGCTGGGCAGCTCTCTGAAGAGGGTTAACCACAGCACTTAGCAGCTCCCTCCACTGGGACTCCCTGGATATGTCTGGGCACCGCCAGGGCTGAGGTCTGCATCCCAGGCCTGCCAAGGCTCCTCTGAGGGGCACTACACTGGAAATTGTCTCTGCCTTCATTATCTTCCCATTTCTGTCTGTTCTCTGATTCCTTCCAACATTGACATGAATTTCAGTGGCTTTGGAGCCTTGCTTTTCCATTTTTCTTATTCCAGAGTGTCAAAGGCTTACAGAACTTTATAGAACAAGTAATAAAGAAGCAGTCATTCATTGAACAGTGATGAGGAGTATTAAATCCTAGGTACTTGAGGACAGGCAGAGCAGTAATCAAACAGTTGTAGTCCTTCCCTTTGTAGAATTTAGAGTATGGAGATAGTCCTTATCCTCTGGATAGCCTGTTCTAAACCTCAGATTATGGCTGCCTAGCAGGCAAAGACCAGTGAAACCAACAGAGCCCAATGCAGTGACTTACACATCACATGAATATTTGTTGAACTGAATTAAATTTGAACCGTGTCAAATGGAACTGCACTTCTCTCCTGGAAGATGATGAGCCCTAACTGAGGAGAGGACATACATAATCTACCATGATCCTGAACACCCTCAGTTACAGATCCAGGGGTGGGGGTCCCAAGAAACCTAACATTGGGAGAAAATTTAGTACTCTTCCCTGGAAATTTCTGTCTGCAGTCACAGGCCAAGCAGACAGATTTGGAAAGTCACAAATAGCAATGACATAATTCACACTTCTTCTCTGTTAAGCACAGAGCAGTCATGGCACTCTGGCCGTTGCTTATGTTGTTTCCCCACCCCACTTCCTCTTACAAAGTCCTGTGTATACATGGATGAAAGAATACGATGTCTGGGCTTTGGTGGGATCCAGGAGTTATGGGGAGTACCTTAGTTATCTAGTGCTGCTTAACAGAAATTTCACAAGTCAGTGGCTTTAACAAACAGAAAATTATTTTTTCACAGTTGAGGCTAAAGTCTGAATGCAGAGAAATGACACTAGGGGAAAGCTTTCTCTCTCTTGTCAGCTCTAGAGAAGGTCTTTGTTCCTTGATTCCTTGGTGATCTCCACATGTTGGTAGTCATCTCTGCTTCCTTCTCTATCCTAATCTGCTCTTTTTATATCTCAAAGGTGATTGGCTTAAAACACACCCTACACTAATACTGCCTCTTTAACATTGCACACAAAACCATTCCCAATTGGGTTTATAACCACAGGTATAGGGATTGGGATTTACAACATATAATCCATAACAGGGAAGGAAGGAGGGAATGAGGAGAGAAATAGCTGAAATAAAATCAGCCAAGTGTTGACAATTACTGCAATATGATGATGAATATATGAAGGTTCACTCTACTATTTTGCGTATGTCTGGAAATGTCTATAATGAAAAAAATTTTCTAAAAACTCATGTGTGTCCGTAAAACCCAGGTCAAGGACAACCAATTTGTCCATGAAGTTTCCTGGCTGCTTCCCACTCACTGATAGGCCTTTCTCTAGTCGAACTCTAATGGCACAACCAATATTATCCAAGATAGCACAGTAATTTACTGTGGCCATGCATCATGCGCTTTTTGTTCTGTAGGTTTTCAGTTGTCTGGTTAATTTAGTGGCAGAAAGGAGAGGAACTAATATTCATTAAGGGCCCTCTCTACGTGGGGAACTGAACTATGTGTTTCTTATATAGACAATATCTTATATGACTTCCCTAGTACACGGTTAGACTCATAGTGGGTATCTATTATACAGCTATCAAAAATAACAGAGAAGGAAAACTTCTAATGACAGAGGGGAAGGACTTATGATGTTAGGTGAAATAGAATCAGAGCACAAAATCATATATGTGGTATGATCTCAACTCTATAAAACCTGGTTAGAAAAAAAAGACTGGACAGATATATATATCAAAATGTGCTTGTTTATAGATTGGGATTTTTTTTATTTTTATAATTTCAAAATGTCATTTAATAATCACATATAACAGGCATCAGCAAATTTTTTTCTATAAAGGTACAAATAGTAAATATTTTTGGCTTTGTGGGCCGTATGGTCTCTGATGCAACTACTCAACTTTGTCATTAGGATATGAAAGGAATCATAGACAATACATAAATGAATGAGTATGGCTGTGTTCCAATAAAACTTTATTTACAAAAACAGGTACCAGGCTGTCTGCCAAGTCCTGATAGGTAACTTTATAGCCAGAAGAAATGTATATGTTATTTATGTGTTCTTTGGCTGTAACTATATAATCTTGGTACTGTGATTAATAGATCATGGTACAGAAGTATTATTCTGGTATCCCCACATCATAAAACAATAGAAACAAACAGTCACAAATCAGAGAATATAAGAATGAAAATTCTATGCTGGATACCAGCATAAGACTAAAAAGTCACTGTGATGGTTATGTTTGTGTGTCAACTTGGCTGGGCCTGGTTGAGTGGCTGGGCAGCTGGTGGTAGTATTCCCCATGATGAGACTGGCAATCAACTCCATGGTGGGATCTACCACAAGCAGCTGGGTAGCTGCCTTTGGGATGTGGTCTGCTTCCTGTATATAAGGAGAAGCCTTGGGAATAGTCTCTAGTCTATGGCACTCTTGGACCTTGCATGTAGCTGTGTCATTGCTCAGCAGCCTGCTATACTCTGTCAACCTTGGGACTGACAATGGACTTAAGTTAATGGCCTGCCGTGTGGTTTGGTAACATTGGGACTATGCCTTTTTACTTGTCAACCTCGGGGTTTCTCATCCTCAGCAGCCAACAGCTGTCTGAGTGAAGAAATGCCTCTAGCTCCAGTGGGCCGGTAGCAGAAGGCAGAGCCAGACCCCAAGGTTGAGGGGCTTTCACCCAGCCCCTAGAGCCTGGCACTTTGAACTTGGACTTAAAGCCTCCAAATTGTAAGAATAAACTCCTGTTTGTTAAGGCCCTCCCATTTGTGGTATATTCTTGTCAGAGCAGCACTAGGTAACCAGAACAGTCACTATACCTATAATTAATACAAGTTTTATCTCTATTATTTTTAAAGCCTGGGTTAGGATGAATAGAAAAAGTTAAACTTACATTTCTCTCTGATTTCCCCAGATTTTCTGAAGCAAAGGCCCTGGGAGAAAGTATAAATGAAGCAAGAAGTAAAATTGGTAAGCAGATATTCTATGAGCCTCCTTCACAGACCATTTTCCTGGTGAAAATCAGGCCATGCTGTGCCTCCAAATCACCATGAAGCCTTGTGTCTAGGGATCCTCCACCAAGGAAGCTGCTTGAGGGGACCTTTCCTTGGAATTTTGTCATCCCTTTCACCACCCAACAGGTGGTGCACTATCTTTTCTTGTTTGTTTATTTTATTATTTTTTCAAATTTTTATTGTGATTTGGGTGAAAATTTATAGAGCAAATTCATTTTCCATACAGCAGTTCATACACATTTTGTTTCATGGCATTCATTGCAATTCCCCACAATGTAACAATTCTCTTCCTGTTTCCTCCGGGTACTTATCTCTTCCCTGCACCCTTCTTTCCTATACATCCCACCCCTTGAGTTAGCTCCCTTTGCAAATACTGCCCTTCTGTTCTCTCATGATGGATCATTCTAAGGAGTATATCTACCTGATGTAAATGTTCACCCTATATGCCTGTCTATTGTTTGGCTGGAAGCCACCGGAGTGAGTTCATTCCAGATATGAAGGGTAACTAGGGGCCATAGTCTCGGGGGTCTCACCAGGTTCTATCAGACCAGTAAACCAGGTCTATTTTATGATTTTGAGTTTTGTGCCATGTTGTTCTCCCACTCTATCCAGGATCTCCTGCACTGATCCCTTTCCAAGTGGTTGACAGTGGTAGCCAGCACCATCTAGTTCTTCTGGTCTCTCGGTCATAGAGGCTGAAGTTTGCATGGTCCACTAGTCTCTTGGACTGCTTGTTTCTCTATGTCTGGTTTTCTTCATTCTTCTTTGCTCTGGGCAAGGAAAGCCATTGTTGCATCTAGATGGCTGCTTGCAAGCTTTTAAGACCCTAGTTGCTACTCACCAAAGTAGGATGTAGAACAATGTTTTTTTGTAGTATGTTATGCTAATTGAGCTTGATGTCCCCTGTGACCATGGTCCTGAGCCCACAGGTCCAACTACTCACTCCATCAGGGTAGTTGGCTAAGGCTAAGAAGTTATCATAACTTGGTCCCTTGTTAGCTCTACTGTATATATGGACATTCCTACAGCACATACAAATACATATGTAGAAATACCATCTGCCAACCTTATATATGGTCATGGTTATACTCTGCTTTGCCTAGACATACCTGATCATTCAGACTGTCTACCTATCTATTTACTCATAGATTAATGTTTGTTATCACTGATTCCACAGTATTGTGTATGTGAGAGGGTTTATCTTTGTTGTCTGTACTCTTGGGTACACTATCTTTTGTCTCGAAAGAACACAACTCACTGTCATTGAGTCAATTCCAGCTCATAGGGAACCCCCATTGGGTTTCCAAGGCTCTATATCTTTACAGAGCAAATTGCCTTATCTTTCTTCCATGGAGGAACTGGTGGGTTAAAACCACTGACCTTTTGGTTAGCAGCCAAGTGCCTTCACTATTGCCCCACCAGAGTTCCTTTTCTTTTGTCTAGAACTTGAGATTTTCATCTCATGCAGGCCTGACCTCTAGCATCTCAAAGATAAAAGTCTGCTTTTCTCTAGTGTTTTTTGACAATAGCTAAACTATCATAATGGTGTAATTATAGGGACATTGTTTCATATTTTCAAGTGCTATGGAACACTTTTACACCTCCCAAAATGTACACTTAGCATTGCTGGCACAGGTGTGCATTTCTCAGAGCCTGCAAAAGCCAAGGGGAGGATGAGAAGCAATAGTAACCTACCAGGGTGAAGGCTCCCTGGTGTGCAGGTTTCCCCATCTAGGTGAGTACTTCCAGAAAGGTAAGGTAAGGCAAGAGACAAACTCAATAAAAGCATGCCTCGTGTCTTCTTCAAAGTGAGAAGAAAATGTTTCTTTCATCTTAAACTAGAAGATACAGCGGAGACTCATCTCTCAGTCTGGGGAGCAGCTTTGTAGAAGGATTCCCTTGAGCCCTCACCTCAGTGCTTGGAAAGGCAGAAGTTACCTATTCATTAGCTGGCTCCAACTTCTTACCCTAAGAAGTGAGGACAGGACAGAAGCCACTGTGAGCAACCCTTCTGGATTCTCCTACAGAATATGGAAAGTCACAGTAGCCTCAGGTTGTGTCCTCTGGAAAACAAGAGCCCCACCATATCACCCCCCTGTGGCCTGAGCAGAGCCACTGATTGGCCCAAGCCAGGTAACAACACCCTGAGCCATGCCCAGCAGCCCAGTTGAGAATCTTTGAGCCTTGGAGGTTGCTAACCTAACTTTTGGGATCTCAAAAGGGGAGAAAATTACATTTATTTTCACTAATCTTTAATGAAATTCACCACTATTTTCAGTGATGAATACAGGCAGCAGACCACATTAGAATCAGCAGCACCCGTCACCAATGGAAATCACAGACATTGTCATTTCACATCACACAGTGGCAGACCTTGTAAAATAGCTTTTATGATCATCACTATTTCAAAATTACAGTAGTTATTAGACTCACTATTAGATACTATTATTTGATGCATTCATATAAAAGCACATTGGTATTTATATATCACAAAATGTTTTAAAATGTTGATAACTATTTCAGTATGATTGGCTTCTTTTAGAAGCATATGCATTTTACTTTATGCATCTAAAATCCTGATTCTGAGAGGGGGTCTATAGTCGCATCAGAATGCCAGGGGGATCCTTGGAACAAGAAAAGCTTATAAACCTCTTTCTTGGCTTGGATTACCAAACCCCCTAAAATTGTATGAAAAAGAAATTGGGGGAAGAGGTATGTGTATTGTCCCAGGATAATATCCATAGCTTAGCCCCTTCTCAAAGGGGCCAGTGATCAAAACTGATGAGGAGTTTGATTCAGGACTGATGACCCCCCAGCAGTGGCAGGACGTCAGGCAGGAAAGCAGACAGCCTGCTGATGGCAGCCCACTCTCAGGCAGCAGTCCAGTCCTGGCCTACCTGGCCTGGGTCACCTGGCAGGTGGAGGACACAAGGAAGAAAGGGGAAGCAGGTTATATGGCTCCAGGCCTGAGTGTTACTCTTCATCCAACCTCCAGGGACCCAATGGTTTCTTTTCATCCCTGGGAGATAAAGGTGAAACTACTCCTCCCCGGGAAAGAATAATATGAAGTTTGGCTCTTTGTAAACAATTTACTCTATACACCAAAATATAATTGTTCCAACAGTAATTGGTGGGAGGCACCAATTGCCTACACTAATGTATCTAGTTTTTCACTCTGTGTCTGATGGGTCATTGTCACAGAGAATTATAAATTCTCCATAAATTTAGGTGAAATAACGTGTGTTAATGCAGCCAGTTTGCCACATTGTCAAGATTAGGGAGGTCATAGGCTGCGGTACAGCTGCACAAGTTGTGCACGGTCCAAGAGCAAGGGGCTGAGGGTATGAAGACTGCAGTTGATCTGCCCGGTGAGGACATCTGTTTACAATTCACACACAGAGTCCAGTTCAGTGGTGCTGATAAAGCCACTATCACTCTTCACTTTGCTTTGTGCAGATAGCAAACTAAGACCTATTTCCTGTCCACCTATCTTTCAAGTTGTGCGTTTGATACAGGGGGCCCAGATGAGTGAGTCTGAGACTCCCACCCCATTACAAGTCCCTCATGGTTCTTGACCTAAAGCTCTCCATCACTGCATCTCAGGATACCAGGTTAATATTAAGGTGGTATAAGGTGTAACCTGTACACATATTTAAAATTTCGAAGGCTGCCTTGAAGAAAACTTATTTCAGGGGATTTATTACATTTCCGAGTGTATTTTTCCCTAGGGAGAAATCTAATCAAGTGGAATTTGCAGTCCCCAGGGAGCCCTTTAGTGAGTCTAGGAGTCAGGGGTTGGGAGCATGATACCCATGATGTGTGAGATGGTGAGTCAGCACTACTCTCAAACCATGACATATCCTGCCTCTGGACCCTGAGGCAAAAGGAGAGAGCATGCCAAGAAGTGCACATGTCATTGGGCCAGCAGAGAGGAAACAAAATCTGTTTTTGTAAGCTGCAGATCACCCCCACACACACACATGTTTAAAGTTCACGTTGCGACTGTCTTTTCACCTAATTTGGTTTTTCTGGGGACATTGATATGTAGAGCTGCCTCTTGACTTTCATTCCCAAAACTCCCTAAGGGCCATCAATTCAGCAGTGACTTTGAAGTACCTAATTTTTAACTGGTACTTCCAATTATAAAAAACAACAAGAACAACAACAACAACAAAAAGCTTCCATGTTATTTTTTATAAAAAGCCAACCCAAACGAGGTAGGTAAACTCTTGCCACAAACTCCCTTTCGTCCTTCTTTATAGCACCCTTTGGCATAAATGGTTAAACGTGCAGTTACTAACTGAAATACATCCAGAGGTGCCTCAAAGGAAAGATCAAGCGATCTACTTCCAAAAGACCAGAGCCACTGAAGACCTTTTGAAGCACAGTTCCACTGTGACACACATGGGGTCACCATGAGTTGGAATCTGCTCAGTGGCGGCTGGATTTTTGGTTTTATACATCATTTACATCAGTACTGATGGAGAAGAACAAGTTGAAATCAGAAATGGGAGAAACAACCTATTTAGAATCTCCCTGAGAAATTAGAGTCAAGTGTTTCTATAGGAGAACCATGTTTATTGTATCTGTCTATCCCATACACCAGAACGTCAGGCTGCCTTCTGCCACGTGAGCTGTGTTTTGAACGCATTCAAACACACCCTGCTTCCATTTGTTGTCTCTCTAAAATTGTCATTGAGCCCAAGCTGTGGGAAAATAAGTAAGTGTTTTATAAGCAGCCACATAACTATTTTGCCATTCTTTCACTTCTTAGAATTCTGTCATTAGTTTTCCTAATTAGTGCTCTACCACTGGTGCCATCATCTTTGACAACAAAGGACACTCCATGGCTATTCTTTGGAGTAGGGCCCAGTCCCAGAGCAGTCCAGGTACTAGCTGTTTTGGAGGCAAATCAAAGATTTTGATTGACACCTCTTGGCAACTATTTATCCTTCC